TGAAAAAATGCTATTATTATTAAAAACACTGAATATTATTTAAAATAAAAATAAAAAATATTCGGCAGCACAACAATTTGCAACATTGATAATAAGAAATGTTTCTTGAGCACCAAATCAGCATATTAGAATAATTTCTGAAGGATCATGTGACACTGAGTAATGGCTGCTGAAAACTCAAATCAAGTTATATTTACATTTTAGTAAATTAAATTATTTAAATGATTATTTACATTTAAATTATTATTGTTATATTTCATAATACTACTTTGTTCAGATAAATGCAGCCTTTGTGAGCATAAGAGACTTCTTTCAAAAACATAAAAAAAATCTTACTGACTCCACAAGTGGTGTAAGTGTGTATTAGACATGTTTATATATATATATTTATATGTTTATATGGAACTATTGCTGCAGAAATAAAATTTCTAAATGTATCTTGTTTCCTCTCACTCTCGTTGATACTCAGATACGTTTCCATCATCGACAAGATCTTTAATGAGGCGCCCAGTGACCCTACCCAGGATTTTAAGACTCAAGTGTGAGTACCTGTCCCACAAACTCTCAAATGCACACATACTTTAAAATATCAGTGTGTTTAGTCTAAAAGGGATCGTTCACCCCAAAAATGTTGCATTCTTCAGTAGCTTTCAAATCTCATTCGCACTTCCACATATTTAAACTTGGCAAGCCATATTTGGTTAAACAATACAGGGCATTTTTTAATCACTAATGTCAAATACGTCTTAATGCCCAATGTTTGAAAATATACAAATAATGGTCTGTTCCTCACACAAAGCCCTTGCATGACTTATGAAGACCAGGAGTATAGAGCAGTACAAGTTTTATGAACCACTTTTATATTGCTTTTTTGTCATATTTGGAGATTGACTTTTCAGTTTCAGTGTTCATGAACAGTTTCATGTTCCACAGTAGAAAGAGTTTCATACAGGTTTTGAACAACATGAGTGACAAAATGGAGACAGAATTTTAATTTCAGGCTGAACACTTTAGTCCTGTTAATGATGATACTGAAGGGGCTTCAGTAATATCATATATCCAGCAGAGGTCGCCATACATCAATTCTCCCTGCTACCTGAAAGAAAGAGGGAACAAATATGAGTATCTGCTTCGGTTGTTTCAAAGAGCTTAAACACCATAACGATTTTATTTAGTAATCGAAATTTGTATCTTTCTTCCTTCATTTCCACTCTTTAATATCAGAGCAAAGCTGGGCTATGGCCTTCTGTCAGGAGAGTACTCTAAGGTGGCCCCTGACCCCGGGGATGACCCCAATTCCTCCACTGAACCTAGGGTATGTACACAAACATCGGGTTTCATTCATGAAAGATGAGTAGACTTTGTTTATATCTTTCATTAATCATTTTGGTATGGAATCTTACAGTTTTTGCAGGAAAATACAGAAATTGATTCTGCTCATGTTCAGGAAAAGCCATTTCTAAGTCTGATTTTCTTTGTACAGGGTGACCAGGTTGGCATAGTACCTCGCATGTTCAAAGCTCTGGTTGGACGAGGCCACCCGGAGTTCTCTACCAATCGGCAGCAGGATGCGCAGGAGTTTCTTCTTCACTTTATAAATATGGTGGAGGTAATGATGATGACATTCTCTTGCAGTCTCTGTTTTACACCATTTACTTTTGCATTCACTCATTTTGCCTTTTTTTTTATGTTGTCCAGAGGAACTGTCGGTCTGGCATGAATCCCTCAGAAGCTTTCCGCTTCCTAGTGGAGGAGAAGATTGTATGCCAGCAGTCACAAAAGGCCAAATATACCCAACGAGTAGACTACATAGTCCAGCTGCCCGTTCCCATGGACCAGGCAACTAATATGGGTTAAACACTCATACTATGCTTCTGTGTATCAATTCCGATTTATCCTTCCTCTCATTTATCATCTTCTCTTTCTGTTTATCAGAGGAGCTACAAGAAGCAGAACGTCGCCGGGAGGAGGTGGAGTCATCTGGAGCCCCTCCCTCTGCTGCACCACGTGCTCAAATTCCATTTGCTGCCTGTTTGGCTGCTCTTAGCGAACCCGAAACACTCACAGATTTCTGGAGCTCTGCAGTGCAATCCAAAACCACTGCCACAAAGTAATAATATTCGTTTAATTCTCAAGTAGTCTTTGGTTTTCTTCCGTGTGTAATAGTATCTTTATATCTCTTTGTCTCTTAGGACCACTCGCTTTGCTTCATTTCCTGACCATCTTGTCATCCAAATTAAGAAATTCACCTTCGGCTTGGATTGGGTTCCTAAAAAATTAGGTTAATTATATATTTTTTGACTGTTTGATAATGTAACTTTTTAATTTTGCACAATTAATTATATAATTTTAAATTGTTCTGTTAATTGGTTGACAGCCCTAGTTTGAATTCTAATATACTCTTGTAATAATTTGAATAGATGTGAGCATTGACGTTCCTGACACACTGGATCTGAGTGCACTCCTTGCCATGGGACAGCAGCCAGGGGAGGAGCTTCTGCCAGAGGTGGCTCCACCTCCTCTCATGACCCCTGATGTGGAGGTTAAAGGTATCCTGGGTTTCCACGGCAACGAGGAGGACGACTCTCTCTACTCCCCACTGTTGTGTCAGTCTGTCTTTTCTCTTCTTTCTGACCTCATCTGTCTGCCACTTGAGCCTGTCTTTCATTCTTTCTTTTTCCTTTGCTTTCTTCTGTTTAGTGTCTTTTAATTTAATTTTATTATATTCATTTGTTTTAGTTTAATGTAAACGTGTTTTTATTTGCTCTATATAAATGATACTCATATTGCCTTAGTCTTAATATTTAGTTTTCAATTAAATGTAATTTATTTTGGATTTAAAGGAATAGTTCACCTAAAAATGAAAATTCGCTGAAAATGTACTCTCACCTCTTCATCTGATCAGATTTGGAGATATTTACTTAGCATTACATCACTTGCTCACCAGTGGATCCCCTGCAGTAAATGGGTGCCGTCAGAATGAGTTAAATTTACTGATAAAACATCACAGTAATCCACACGACTCCAGTCCATCAATTAACATCTTATGAAGTGAATAGCGGCGTGTTTATGAGAAACAAATCCATCAAGGCATTTTAATTTTAAACCATTGCTTCTGGCCAAAATAGCGGTCCATAATCCATAATAATGCTTCGTCCAGTGAAAAAGTCTCCTGTTGTCCTCTCACAACAAAATCTACCAACATATTGGCTAGAACTTCACAAGATGTTAATTGATGGACTGGAGTCATGTTTTGGATTATTCTAATGTTTTTATCAGCTGTATGAGCTCTCATTTTGGTGGCACCCATTCACTGAAGAGGATCCATTGGTGAGCAAGTGATATATGCTAAATTTCTCCAAATCTATTTCGATGAAGAAATAAACTCGTGTTCCTCTTGGGTTATCTGAGGGGGAAAACATTTTTAGCAAATTTTTGGGTTAACTATTCCTTTAAGCATTGGTTTAATTTTTAATTAATACAATTTTCATTAGCATTCAGTCAATGTAATTATTGAAACATGTCTGTAGAGCACTCTCTCTCTGTCTGTGCATGTCTCTCAGCTCCGGTATTGGATGACTCTACAGTGTCTCAGCTGTGTGAGATGGGTTTTCCTCTGGAGGCCTGCCGGAAGGCCGTGTACTACACGGGCAATACTGGCATTGATGCTGCTATGAACTGGGTGATGGGACACATGGAAGACCCTGGTAAATACATTCATCAATGAGTGTCAGCTGTGAAGAGGATTAAAAGTAGGATGCAGATTTCCAGTAATATTCTCTATGTGAACTTCTGCAGATTTCTCCGCACCTTTAGTGTTGGCTGGATCTAGTTCTGCTCCTGGCACCACACCCACAGAGAGTCTACCTGAGGAACACCTAGCAACCATCGTTTCTATGGGATTCAGTCGAGACCAGGCCACTCGTGCTCTCAGAGCCACAGTGAGACACGTCACTCTGTCTCTCTTAACCAGAGTGATACAAAAAGATTTATTGATGCAAGGACCTGATACCAAAAGTATATTGTACCCATTTCGCATGCAGCCCAGTTGCTACAATGGTTTTACCTCAGTATAAAATTTGAACTTATTTAAAAATTGACACCCATGAAGTGGCATGACTGAGATTCTCTAGTTAATATTTATTGCTTTAAACGCATTTAAGTCACACAAATCATGGTCCTAAATTTTGGTAACAGGTAGCAAAAACTGTAAACTTCATAATATAAATAGAAATTTAAACCTGCTAAGGTTCAGCATGCTACAAATCAGTATGTTACAAATGCTTTGTGCTTCCTTTCAAATGCCATTTTGTTAATTAATGATTTCTTTAAGAGATTCAAATCCTATTTGTCAATTTCTGTGTTTGTAGAATAATGTTCTAGAGCGAGCTGTGGACTGGATCTTCTCTCATCTGGATGATCTGGAGTCCATGGATGTGTCTGAGGGTGGACGCTCAGAAGGAGGAAGTGAAGCCAGTCGGGAACCTCCTCCAGGACCACGTGTCCGTGATGGAACAGGAAGTGTGTGTTTCTGTGGTATTTATTAAATAGTGATTTTTGTAAACGTTATAAATATTTTGTTCTCTTCTAATGATTCACATCTTTCCTATTCTTTTGTCCTGAAGAGTATGAGCTTTTTGCGTTCATCAGTCACATGGGAACGAGCACAATGTGTGGTCATTATGTCTGCCACATCAAGAAGGACCAACAGTAAGTGAAGTTCTCTATCCATCAGTGGGCTCCTCTCTCTCTCCATCATTATTCATATGCAGCTCTTGTACAGCAATATCACTTTTTCTCAGTATTAATGTATTCATTGTCACTCTTTGCTTCTTTTAGGTGGGTAATCTTTAACGATCAGAAAGTTTGTGCCTCTGAGAAACCACCTAAGGACCTGGGCTACCTGTACTTCTACAGAAGAGTAGTGGAATAGAATAGAGTAAACTAGAATAGCATTTTTCTCTCTCTCACACACACGCACACTTCTGTATCTGATCTACTGGGCACAATGTGTGGTCATTATGTCTGCCACATCAAGAAGGACCAACAGTAAGTGAAGTTCTCTATCCATCAGTGGGCTCCTCTCTCTCTCCATCATTATTCATATGCAGCTCTTGTACAGCAATATCACTTTTTCTCAGTATTAATGTATTCATTGTCACTCTTTGCTTCTTTTAGGTGGGTAATCTTTAACGATCAGAAAGTTTGTGCCTCTGAGAAACCACCTAAGGACCTGGGCTACCTGTACTTCTACAGAAGAGTAGTGGAATAGAATAGAGTAAACTAGAATAGCATTTTTCTCTCTCTCACACACACGCACACTTCTGTATCTGATCTACTGGAACAGAAGGCCCAGACTCCTGCTTCTGAACTGATGCACCATTTAATAAGTCAAAGCACTTCTCCATCAAATATATTCACTACCACGAGAAACCAGTTGTAATGATGGAAAAAAAAAAGATGTAAGATGTGCGGATTAGTGTGTTCTTACTCGAAACGCCCATATTGTACAACGCCTTACCACACACACTAGTCTCCTTCGTGCCTCCCCCATTGGATAGTGGCTATTGTGACTTCATCGCTTTTAGAGCTAAGCTCCACCTTCCTGCCCTTTGTGTTCCAGAATGTTTCTGCAAATGTTTAATGGCAAGTAAATATCATTAAATCACACACACAAAAAAAATAACAGCTAAATATTATATATTGGAATTTTAAATAAAAAAAAATGAATTCAAAAGGTATTGTGCGGTTTCACATTTTTCTTTGTTTTGTTCTCCTTTTTGGGGGAGGAAATAATTCCTTTTGTTCTTTTTGCTTTAAAATAAAAGAATAAATAAAAAGTGTCTCTTTGTTTCTTCTGACTGTGTATTGCTTATGGGTGTGTATAAAGGAATTTTCTGCCAAATGCAGTGTCAGCAGTAATAAACTATGTATATTACTGAAAAAACCCAATGTGAATGCATGTTTACTGGCAATACTGAGGGTGGAAAGAGTATTGATAAATGTAAAAGCATGAAAGTCTGCTAAGTGTATAAACAATACGAATGACATTTGGTAATTGATCTGGTTAACAATGGAAAGTTCAAGCCTCATTTATGTTACACTGCTAATAAGTAAATGTGTGTAGTGTCCAAAGGCCTGTGTTTTATGTGAATAAGCCCCAGATAGCACACGCACGTCGCGGAGACGTCTGTACTGAAAAGCCAATATTTTTATTAATGTTTCAATGCTATGTAGACTGAGTTTATGAGTAAAAATGCTGACATCGATTATTTGTTTTTATGAATTAATTTGTATATTATGTTATTGTGACCCTATTTGTAAACTTAATTGTCAAATCTTAACTTTTCCTTCAAGGATTTCCCACTGAGAAGTCCATGTGAGAGGCGTTTTCTGCCTTACATTGGTTGTTTCTCTCCAAGCAACATTTTTTGCTTGCTTCCGCACTCATACTTCATTTCAGTTCAGATTTTCGTGTCGGCTGGTTTCTCGCACACGCTGGTTTTTACCAGTTGGACTAAAGGCGCAGAACTAACCTCAAACTTTCTCAACACAAAAAACAGCATCCAAACGTGAGTATGAAAAGAAGAGCGCATAGCTTAAAAAAAAAAAACTTGCATAAGCGAATGGTATCTTAAATAAAAACTGGGAAAACCAAACATAAAAGAGAAGCATCAGCATTATTGGTTTTTGCTGCATGAGGTCTAAGTATTTAACAGTATGTAACCGTGTTTAACAACCATGATGTTTTATCTTTTCATTAACTTTAATGCTTTTTAAATATTAAATATATAATCATATAAATATCTATGTACTGACTTGCATTTTTTTTTTCACATTTAAAATGGCTAATTTTAAGAATTGAAAGTAAACGACAAATACACATTTTTTGTAAAGATTATAATATAATCACATGATTTTGCAGGTTTTATGAAAATGTGTAAGCTTAACTAATGACCTAAATAACTATGCGTGTCTGAGCCAATAACTCAAACTTACCTAGATAGAAACGCGCACTATGTGTGTTATTAACAAGCAGGAATCACCCTGTAGGCTGATAGATGAAGTAACACCTGGCTCAGGCTCGGGCGGCCTGAGCAAATAGTTTTAAATTTGTCATTCAAGAGTTGTCAATTGATTTTTTTTTTTTTCTCATTAACGTTCATCATTGTTACTGCAGTGGAAATACTTACCTTTAACTTATTAATAAGCTAACAAAATATTTGGCGAAAGAATAAATTACTGTACACCATGTAGTTGTGGTGTCATGTGCCCAGGACTAATTCTGCCTCCGAAGCAGCTGCTCATTTATTTTGATAATTTAAAATATTTATATTGCATATTAAGAACAATAATGTTTGCATTGTATGAACACATCATTGATAAATGCGTGGCTCGTTCCAAGATGGCCTTGAGCAAGACACTACAGTGACTTTATTTAAATGCAGTTGTCTGCTTTTATATTAATTGTCTAAATTAAAATTTGTAACATAGAAATGCTGTGCATACTGCTGAGAAAAATCTCGATGACTGAATGCCTACGCAAGCTGCTGCTCCTGCACAAGAGACTGAACTGCTGAGAGCTCCATTAATTAGGCATACGAGTAGCTAGGCGAATGCCTATTTTACTCTAACATGGTGTCTACGCCAGACACGAGCGGCACAATATGACCAAATCAATAGAC